GCTCGCCTTGGCCTCCCAGAGTGCTAGGATTACAGGTGTGAGCCACCATGCCCGGCCTGTCTTTTTAATTATCTCTTAATTGCTGATTAATTACTCTCAGCTTAGCTGTAGCCATTGCAATTGCCACTGTCCTTGCAATGACTAATTCCCTGATATTTATCAGATGCCAACTAGGCACTCCCTTGCACCTGTAGGCTGCTGCAGTTGACCACCAGTGAAGGTTAAGCCTATGCCAGAGGACATCCGTGCTCCACCTCCCACCAGTGTGTATGTAGCGGGGTCCTCTTTCATAGCCAGACGGTCAGTGACTGGGCACCAAAATCCCACCCCTGCTTTCCCAGACCACTTCTGGCACCGACTGCCATAGGTTGGGCCATAGGCTGAGCAGCCTGTGAGATGGAGAGTCGTGTGCAGGAGGTTTGCTGGGGATGCGCACGCAGTCATCACCTGTGGAGGGGAAAAGGGGGACACAGGATCAGGAAGAGGGAGAAACTGGGCCACACTGCCATTCCAGGGAAGGCCTCCACCAACCTCACCAGCTTCTCTGAAAGTTGCCCTAGGCAGGGGCAAATGGAGTTGTGTTTTTCACACCCTCAGCTTGGACATAAATGGTTGAAAGAAGGGGCATAGCTCTGGGCAGTGGCCCTCCTCAGTGGAGGCAGTTTGGGAAGAGGGCTGACACCTGAGGGCTGCCTGTCGACGCTGTCCCAGCAACATGGGTAATGAGTTCTTTTCTGAAGGGGATCTAGATGAGCACTGCACTGTCCTGAGAGAGGGTGCCCTGATCCCAGAAAGACTAGCCCATCACCATTGTCATCAGTAGTGTTTGTTTTTTTTGAGACAGAGTCTCACTCTTTTTTCCCCGGGCTAGAGTGCCATCGCATCAGCCTAGCTCACAGAAACCTCAAACTCCTGGGCTCAAGCGATCCTTCTGCCTCAGCCTCCCAAGTAGCTGGGACTACACGCATGTGCCACCATACCGAGCTCATTTTTTCTATATATTTTTAGTTGTCTGATTAATTTCTTTCTAATTTTTAGTAGAGACGAGGGTCTCCTCTTGCTCAGGCTGGTCTCGAACTCCTGAGCTCAAACAATCCGCCCGCCTTGGCCTCCCAGAGTGCTAGGATTACAGGCGTGAGCCACCGAGACCGGCCTGTTTGTTGTTTTTAAAACAATTCCTACTCCTACTATGGCAGGAAATATTGCAGGAGTGTTGACATCCGCATGGGGCAGGACTTAGCAATGGGAAAATTTGTTTTATTAATCTACATAAATTATATAAAGTTACAACTATATAATGTTTTGAAAAGCAGCTTAATGCAAATGAGGTACTAAATTTTAAATATCACTTAATTCCTATTTAGATTTAAATAGCCACAAAAAGTAACTCATGGTTCCATGTTGAATAACACGGTTTTGCTGTGTCAAATAATTCATTTTTTTCCCACATAGGGATAATATATCTCCTGCAACCAAGCTGTTTCAAAAGAACTCACCTAATACGAACAGAAATTATTTAAAAAGAAAGCAGCACAAGACCTAACAAAGAAAGTACAGTTTAAAACAAAAAGGAAAAGGAAAAACAAAAGTTTGCCTAAGAACCCTTCTGGAACACCCAGTACATCAGGAGGAATGAAATCTATGATTAAAAAACCGGCAGCACTTACTGAACTTAAGGAAGCCATCATTTCTACAACATAAGACAAATGTATAGATCCCAGGGCTGAGGCGAAAGGGGGCAAGAATGCAGAAGGAGCTGGAATACAGGCAGCAGCACATGGGAGTGGGGTGGGAGGGATAAATAAAAACCAAGTAGTGTTAACGGAAAAAAAGCCAAACTCTGTAAATTAATTTTAAACAGATTTATTCTGAGCCAAATTTGAGGATCATGACCCGAAGCCATGTCCAAGAAGCCTTGAGCAAGTGGACTCGCTGTGGTTGGCTTACAGTTTGGTTTTATACATTTCAGGGAGACAGGGGTTACAGGTAAAGTCATAAATCAATACGTGGGAGGCATACATTGGTTTGGTCCGAAAACGTGGGCCATCTTGAAGTGGGGGGGGCTTACAGGTTATGGGTGGGTTTAAAGATTCTTTGACTTGTAATTGGTTAAAGACATGAAACTTTGTCTAAAGGCTTGGAATGTTTTAACTTAAAGAGCTGTTTATCAGAGATAAGCCACTGGACATATATTTGTTGTGTAAATTGAGGACCTGCAGGTTTGTCTTGCATATGCTTAGGCCTGTTAATGGGTTACAAAGTATGTGAGGGGGGCATGATGAGGCATGTCTGACTTCCCTCCTTGTGGCAGGCAATTTAGTTTTAGGATATTCCTTTGGCCATGAGGGGGTCCATTCAGTCAGCCTTAAGATTTTATTTTAGTTCACATCCCCATTCCCACATTCTCCCTTTAAAACACCCAGTCACCTCTGTACAAATCGAAGTTTAGTTCAGCTCATGCTGGACTCTTTTTCCTATTGCAATAGTTATTACTGATTAAAATCTGTCCTTAACACTTTAGTGTCCAGCTTTGTTTATCTTTGACGGTACCCTCAGAGTCTTGTATATTTCTGTTCTCAGAGCCCAGCCCAGAGCCTGGACACATATAGGTGCCCTTGAATCAAACCTATTTGGAGCCTAATCCTGGACACCAGCTTTTCCTGGTGCTTGTTGATTCCCTGAGAGTTGGAGCTTGCCTCCCATCCAGGACAGGTAGGAGGAAAGGTCTTTGATACGCTCTTCTCATTTCTCACAACAAATTGAAGGGCACAGGGTAAGTAAGCCAGCATATGCCCTTTTCCTCTTCTTGTCCCTGTTTTTTTTAATGGTCCTTTCCTGCCTTTTGGGATAGGGATCCCAGGCTGAGGCGCTCCCTCTCTCACTGCGGGACTCCCGGTCTTTGCCCTGCAGGGTCTTCGTCCTTCATTTCATGGCACTCTGGTAGCCCCAGGCTAGTACCAATCGTGACCGTCTTCCCGTGAGCCTCTGCTTCCTGGCCCTCGGGGGCGTGCCTCCCTACCCAGCAGCCCTCACGCGGCCCGGTACAGCGGACATCAGGGCTCCAAGATGGCGTCAGTCGGTGAGTGTTCGGCCTTAGGGCGCTTTGGGCGGCGCGGTGGAAGCAAGAGCCGGGGGTCCAGGGCCCAGAGCTGCACGGGTAGGGGAAGGAGCTGCAGAGCCATCTGCCTTTTGCTCAGGGACTTTGCTGCTGCCTCCTTTGAGATGCGCCGGGCCCTTACTCCAACGGTCCTACCCTGTCTGACCCTCTGCTCTCCCATCCGCGGCTTCCTGCTGCCCAGGGCCCGCGCCGCCTGGTTTCGGCGTGAAGAGTGAGGGCAGAGGGCAGCTGCGGCACGCGGCTCCGGGCCTGGGAATGCGCTGCCTTAGGCACTTTTCCTCTCCGCTCAGGAATAGCTTCCTTCCTCCTCTCCGCCACCCAGGCGCTTTGCGTTTGGACCCTACGCGGAGCTTCTATCCTTCTTCCCGAAGTCGAAGGTCAAATTAAGCTCTAGAAGGAGCGAATGCCTAAGACGGTACCCGACACCAGCAAAGGTTCGGTTCATGTATGTCGATAGGCTTAGACAGGAGAAGTGACCTGTTCAAGGTCACAACTTGTTAGAAGGCTGAGCTGGGATTCAAACCTGGGGCCTCAGGATAAGTGAGCTTTATTCGCAAGGATGGCCCTATGGCTAGCAGGCTTTTCAGTGACACGCATGTGTAATCTCTATGCTCATCCGGCTGTACACATTGATTTATTTATTTTTTTAAATAAGGAAACTGTGTTTTAGCCCTAGATTTTTATAGTGGCCTAGTCTGGGGGCAATGTCGGGAACACTGAATCCCATTTAAAAGATGAAGAAAATAACGAAACGGTCCGAGATGTGGCGTGGCCTGTCTGAGGTCACACAGCTGATAATGGCAGAGTTTTGATTAACCCATGTATGTCTCACCTCAGTTTCTATATTCTTAATCTCTCAGACTGGAGATAAAGAGGGGATCAAAAAAGGCGAGAGTGGCCGGGCGCGGTGGCTCACGCCTGTAATCCTAGCACTCTGGGAGGCCGAGGCGGACAGATTGCTTGAGCTCAGGAGTTCGAAACCAGCCTGAGCAAGAGCGAGACCCCGTCTCTACTAAAATTAGAAACAAATTAATCGGACAACTAAAAATATAGAAAAAATTAGCCGGGCATGGTGGCGCATGCCTGTAGTCCCAGCTACTTGGGAGGCTGAGGCAGTAGGATCGCTTGAGCCCAGGAGTGTGAGGTTGCTGTGAGCTAGGCTGACGCCACGGCGCTCACTCTAGCCCGGGCAAAAAGAGTGAGACTCTGTCTCAAAAAAAAAAAAAAGAAAAGGCGAGAGTGAAGCTGTTTTCCCCTCTGTAAAATGGGCAAGAGAATATTCCTCATCCATGGTGGTTGTGTCGTTTAAAGGAGACAAGAGGTGAAAAGGGAGCATTGAGGCTTGGCATCTTATTAAAGCACAGGGTTGTAGTGAAGAGCGCTCTGGATTAAGGATTAAACAGTTTAGTACACGAAAGGCACTTGGAACACGGCTAGTGTGTGTAAGCTTCATGTGTTTTCTCCTGGCCCACAATTGTGCACTCAGTTGGGATGAGCTGGTTATTCAAGCTTTACTCTGTGATCTTTGGGCACAGTCATGTCACATACCTGGCCCATTTAGCATCACCCGAGGTGAAGAAATTGGAATCCATATCTCTTAAGTATTGATGATCTTTTAGGTGGTGTCTGTCATCAGAGCACAAAGCAACTAGTTCATTAGCATCAGTAAAGTCAGGGAAATATGAATTATCAGCAGTAGATAGAGGTCAGCAAGCTATGTGGGCTGGATTTCCTGCGGCCTATTTTTGTTTGGCCATGAGCTAAGAGTGGTTTTTGTGTTTTTAAAAAAGAAACTATGCAACAGAGACCTTATGTGGCCTGCAAAGTCTAAAATCTTTACTCTCTGGCCAACTTCTGCGTTGGATTTAGCACCCAGGAGACACTTGCCATTTCCATGCAGCTCCATAACAAATGAACAGTTTGCTTCAAGTCGTAAAATCACCTGCCCTCTCAAGAACGTGTGTTTGTTCCACAACCGTTCCTGAGAGTCTGTTGTGTACCAGGAACTGTGTGTGGGGATGTTCCCACATTCAGGTAACTCATAATCAGGCAGAAAATAATAGTTCTCATTTATGTAGTACCTGAAGTCAAATACCAAAGTGGGTACTATTATTACCCTTATTTTACAAAGGACAAAACTAAGACAGCAGTACCTTGCCCAAGGACACATAGCTACAAAGTGGCACTAAACCCAGAAACTTGGTCCCAGATTCTGTGGCTTGTCACTGCACTCTACAGAATCTTTTGTGTGAATCAGTGATTGCAGATGGATGTTCCAGCATTGCAGAGGAGTGGCTAGGGTGTAGGGGTGGGGAGAAAAGGGGTTCTGATATGGCTGCCAAGGACTGAAGCCTTTGTCTTTCACTAAAAGAGAAATTCTTGGGAATCAGTGGATGCACCTCTCATGAATAGGATGGTACCTTGGAGTTTTGCAATGATGCTGAACTTGGCTCTCCTTAAGGCCAATGTGTTTTTATTTTTTTTTTTCCTGCTCTTATACATTTCTTAATTTTGTTTAAGGAAACACTCTTCATAATACAGAGATAGAAACAGGTAGAAAAATAAATTTTAAATTGTTGGCTTTCTTTCTGATGTGCGAGGCATCATGCCAGCCCCTGAACATGGTCGTGAGCATGCAGAGAATATTTGCATAGTTTGTGAATGTGAAAAAATAGCTTCACTGGGTCCAGAAGTGACTTTATTGATTGACTGATTGATTGATAGAATCTTGCTCTGTCACCCTGGAGTGCAGTGGCGTCATCACAGCTCACTGTAACCTCAAACTCCTGGGTTCAAGTGATCCTCCTGCCTCAGCCTCTGGAGTAGTTGGGACAGGCGGGCACCACCACGCCTGGCTAAGTTTTTCTAATTTTGATAGAGATGGGGTCTTGCTCTTGCTCAGGCCAGCCCGAAATCCTGACCTCAAGCAATCCTCCTGCCTCGGCCTCCCAGAGTGCTAGGATTGCAGGCATGAGCCACCGCACCTGGCCCTGTCACCAGCCTTATACCAGTCAAAATACCTTGATTTAAAATACTGTTTTTAGGCTGAGGCAGGAGGATCGCTTGAGAACAGGAGTTTGAAGCTAGGCTGGGCAACACAGCAAGACTTCATTGATATAAAAATTAAAATAATTAGCCAGGTGCAGTGGCACACACCTGTAGCCCTATCTACTCGGGAGTCTGAGATGCGAAGATCACTTGAGCCCAGGAGTTCAAGGTTACAGTGAGCTTTGATTGCACCACTGCACACTAGCATGGGCGATAGAGTGAGAATCCTGGTCTCTAAAAACGAGAAAAAAAAATTATCATTTTTCTTTGGTGCATCTCCTCCAACATAGTTCTATTTTAAAAAGCATTTTTATGATGGAAGATTTAAAATACAAAGGAAACAATAATGTAACAAATTCATTACACTCATTACCAAGTTTCAGCAGTTAACAACATCACTGCCTATGTTTCCATCTCTACTTTTATTACCCACTCCCCACCACATGGCTGTGTTTAAAGCCAGTGGTTGGTTTTAGAACAATGTGCTTGAGCCCCTCACTGCAAGAAGACTTTAAAAGTATGGCACATGTATTGACCATGTTCACATTCAAAAAGAAAGGAACTGTAGTTTTCCTTGTACTAAAAGCCTACCATTCCAGGTGAAAACAAGACTGAGATGTGTGCTTGTTAAACTTTTTTAGAAGTAGCCCAGACAAGATGACAGAAGGTCATTCTTGTATGATATTGTTTGATGTTGAACTTAACATCATTGATACTGAACTCTCCAATAGAGGTTTGGAATGTATCCTGAAATTCATTTTTTTTGTTGTTTTTTTGAGGGAAGGGCAAGAATATCTTTGAGACTACCTCACATTTTGTAAATATTCTCAAACTAATTACATTTTCTGTTTGTAAAAGAACTAAAGGGTATGATTAATCCCTGAAGTCCTATATGCTTAAAATGTCTTAAAGTTCAGTGCAAATGCTGTTTCTTTCTCTACCCTCCCCCCATTTGGATGTTTCATAGTGAGATTTCAACAGTAATAACCAGTTTGCAGTGTTCCAGGTGCTGTTCCAAATACCTTTACATCAATTCTCACTTAATGCTTGGAATAAGCCATTTCACAGATAAGGCAACTGGCTCAATGGTTATATGGGAAGTGGTGGTGCTTATTTGAGATGGGGCAGGCAGGGAAGGCAGCTTCTGAGAAGACATTTGAGATAAATGCAAAGGCCCTCAGGTGAGAATAATCCTGTTTCATGTGAGAAACAGAAAGGGATTGCGGGGAGATGAGTAGGATAGGAGATCCATTGTTCACCAGTAGAATGTTAACTCAGTGCTGCATCCACCGTGCTTAACATGCTGCTGGTGTATAGTAGGTGCTCCATAGTCGTTGGATGAGGCTTGACAGAAGGTGAAGGGTCAGTTTGTTTGGGGCAGGCGGCCTAAACTGTGTTCCTAAAGCCATGCATGCAAGTCATAGGCTTATGCTTCTGCCTGTCAGCTGTGGGCTCTGGACAAGCACTAAGTCTTGACACTCATCAAGGCCTGTGTCTGCTTCTTCACAGGACCTGGGGCAGAGTAGAAGCTGGCCATTGAGCCTTGCATTTCTGTTTATGGCCTAAAAGCCTTTGCTCATGTTAAGCGTGGGGGGAGATGTCAGGAGACCTGTGGGATTCCCCACACTGGACTCTTGAGGCCAGTCCTGAAGGATCCGAAAATGGAGAAGAAACCTTGGGGTGATTTAGTCTGGATCCTCCTATGGTGATCTTTAAGAAGGCGCGGTGGTACTTGAGTCCGTGCTCTGGAGAGGACACCTGCTAAAAGCTTTTTAAATTGCTCTTTGCCAGGCGGGTGGGGGGGGTGGGATGGGGACACGACCCCTCCTTATGAGCATCTCCTGGACACCCACAGGTCCGACCCTCCCCGGTTTCCTCTGAGGCAGAGATGAGTACAGCGTGCCCTCTGCCAGGAGCTCTTCTGTTCCTTGTCCTCAGACTCATTGGAATATGGTCTGGGGCCCATTGGGTCATCTGGAGTGGTTTTTACTAAGTCATTCGACTTCTTGGAATATGTTGTCTCTTATTTGTCTCTGTGGTTCCAGGTAGAATGCTTGAGGTGGAAGTAGCTTAGGTACCCATTATGGGGCTTACTCAGGCTGGCACAACTGGGGGGGCTGGCTGCTATGTGAGCTCAGGTGCTCCTCGAAGGGAGCGACACACTTGAGGGCATATCACATTGCTCCCCTTCAGTGTTCCCTCCCGTACATACTCCAGCCACAGGTCCCCAGAGGTTGGACAAGGCCACCCTCAGATTGGCTTCAGGGACATGGGGGCATTCCTGAAGTTGACTCCTGCCTCCACGCTGTGTGTGTCACCTTGGCCAAGTTGTCCAACCTCTCTGATGAGTCTGTTCTCCCTCCCTTCCCAGAGGGAAAGCCATCAACTACTCGTTGTGAAGATTAAGTAAGCTAATGATGTAACGTAAATGTTAGCTGTGCGGTAATCTATTCTGTCCTCCACTTTATTGCTTTCTTCTCACACCCCTTAGCTTTTGTAGAGTTATTCCCAGCAAACTGTTATGCAGACGCCCTGTTGGCTAATAAAGCTTTCGCTGCAGCAGTTCTGCCATTATATAGACTCAGGCTTAAAATGGTGGATTTGATGTATTTAGTTGTAATATTATTTATGTGCAGCCTCTGTGTAGTTACATTATGCACTTTTATTGAATAGTTGGAATAGTGGCATAAAAAGATACTATTTGTCTTATTGGTAGGTTATTCAGTGGGTATGTTTTTTTGCTCTTCCCTTTCAGTACCAGTGAAGGAGAAGAAACTCATGGATGTCAAACTAGGGGAGCTGCCAAGCTGGATTTTGATGCGGGATTTCACCCCTAAAGGCATTGCTGGAGCCTTTCAAAGAGGTCAGAGCCTTATGTGTGTGTGTAAACTAAAGCAAGTCTCTGGGTCTTCAGGTCTCTTTGAATGCGTGTGGTTAGGCACTCGGTGAAGCGATGAACTCAAAGAAGCCTTCCTCTTCACCATGGGCCCAGTTGGCCACGGCAGTGTGGCCCTTACTGGGGGGTTGGAGTCTGGGTCAGAATTAGGGTAAGGGGATCCCCAAGCCTGGAGGTGGGGGTGAGGTAGAACCAAAGGCCAACAAGCTGAGCCACATCTACAAGATCAAGGCCAAGGGGTGGGGTAGAGGCAGAATAGAGGTGGGCCTAGCTCAGGAGCTGGTCCTGGGCTGTGGGGATCAGCGACACTGCCGGTATTTGTGCTTTTCACCTTAATCAACCAGTGAATGTAGGGTGAGTACCAGCAGGGCAGGATTGGGTCCCTGGATTTCGGCCAGGCTCAACTGCAGGCAACGTGAAGCATTTGCAGCAGAGCAGCGCAGTGAGCTCCTCTCGTGTTTGCAGGTTACTACCGGTATTACAACAAGTACATCAACGTGAAGAAGGGGAGCGTCACTGGGGTTACTATGTTGCTGGCAGCTTACGTGCTTTTCAACTACTGCCTTTCTTACAAGGAGCTCAGTGAGTGCCTCTTGAACTGTCTGCCTTCAATTTCCCATCAGAGGGTGGTATTGGCTTACTTTCTTAGATATAGCAGTCCACCTTCAGAGGCTGAGGGACCGTATGTTCCTTACCTACACTTCTACCTAAAAGAATTGGAAGGACTTATCAAAATACAGTATATGGGATATTGCTTTAAGTGACAAAATTGTGACGGAGAACATAGGTAAGAAAAACAAGATGAAGCCTAGGGTAAAGGTAATAATTAGGAAGCATTCTATGAGATACTGCAGGCTCTGTTATAATGTGGCTTGATCTTCCAAGCAGCCAATGTGAAGAGGGAAATAGGTTGAGTGGTATGATCTGGTGTCTGTACAGTGCTCCAGAAAAGCATGGCTGTTCTGGCTTTGAGCCCTGAGAGGAGCTTACCTGGTGGGAGATGATGGGAACAATGTCAGTTGTGGCCTATTACAGGGTTTCACAGCCTGTTTCTGACAATGTCCAGCCCTCTACCAGTCTGCTATACTAGGGCAACACTGCCTCTGAGGGACAGGCTCTTGAGAGCTGTTTGTCTGAGTGGGTGTTCCTTCTGGAAAGGCAGAGGCTGGCCAGGTTCCTCTTGGCTCTTGAGGTGCCTTTGTGCCCCCAGGTCTGCCAATTCCTTTGAGATACTAGAAGACAGGTTCCAGGTCATGTCCTGAAAGGAATACTCAGGAAGGCTTGGTACTGCTGTCACTGTCATCTCAGGCTTTCACTATGGCCCCCTTTTTTTGGTAAGAGTACAAACTTTATCCACAAATAAGGCTCCATAAAGTTAAAAGCAGGGGCAGTTCCTTTTGTAAAAAGTGAATGTAGAAAGGCATCATCCCATTTTATTTAAAATTGCGTATTAGTATTTTTAAATGGTTGAGAGATTAAATTCCATTCCTCCTTCTCACTATAACCTTTTAAGACACTATTTTGCCTTCTTGACTTCAGAACATGAGCGGCGACGCAAGTACCACTGAAGAGGGGCCCATGGTGGGGGTGCATTCTGCACTCGTGACCTTGACCTCCTTGGCCCAGCACCCTCTGTGAGGAACTCAAATCATTGCTGAATCCTTTCATATCCTAGCGAGAAATAACCTCCAAATAAAAGATGACTGGTATGTGTGCTGCTTGCTTGCTGTAGCCATTGTCCCACACTCTGGGGGTACCTGCTGCACAAAGTGGGGATTGTCACACAGCCCAAGGCCTTGACCCATGAAACCTTGGGGGGCTTCCCAAACCACCACTTGATGATGTGTCCCAGCTCACTAGGGGGCAGGGTGTCACCTGGACTTTTCCTGTCAACAGTGCCCAGAGGTCCGTCCCCTGCTGTGAGCATTGTGGGCAGCTATGGGCATTGGGACACACTCTGGCCTTTTGTTGGCTGATGCTTTATGGTATAGATCAGAGGACCTATGTTCCTAAGACTGCTGGACTTCATCCCTGGCCATCATGTGGCTCTCAGCAAGGGACATTTGGATGGCCTGAATGTCTTCCTATTGCCCATTTTTCTGTATATTACCCTGGGGCATTGGGGCTACATGGTGAGGTGGCCCAGCACTGTCTGGAGACCTTAGGCAGTGTTGTTTCCCAGGCTGCAGGTAGTGTCACCCTCCTGGTGAGGCTTCACCAGTGGGAAGCTCAGTCAGATAGGGGCAAGGGAAAGGCCTGGGCCTGGTGCAGGCTCACCACCCACTGCCCCTACATCCAGCACCCTTCCTCCTTAGCCTTCCTCAGAGGTCTTCAGTGCCTCAGGTGGCACAAAGACCAGCACCAGTTCCTTGCTGAGGGGTATGGTGAGCACACACCGTACGGAATGTACAGAGGTGGGATGTTGCACCCAGTATGTCTCAGAAGATCGGAACTTGAATAAGCAGGTATTATTGAACATCTGAGATGAGGTAAGGAGACCTGCCAGCCTCCTTACCTGCTGCTTCAAAGGTCAAGCTCCCAGACGTGACCAGCTGCCCCTACGACGAGAAAGCAGCAATATCACAGCTAGTGCAGCCATCATAAGTCTTCACCTTGGCATGGAGTCCCTTAGGTAAGTAATGAGACAGGGCTTAAAAAACAAGCTTTAATCAACTTCATAAAAATTGTTCTTGTCATTTAACTTGGATAGGCCCACTTGCCTAGCAGGTCGCAGGTGAGTTTCACATTTTCCAGGCTCAGGGACACAGCGGTCTCCTCCACATGCCACAGGTGTCTTAGTGACAGTACAGATGCTTAATGGGCAGGAGGTAGGTGCAGATGGGCTGGTCATCTATCTGAAAGCCTGCAACTCCAGCTCAAGGTATACCTTAAACACTGTCAGGCAGGTGCCCCAAGGAAAAAGCCCAGAGGAAAAAGAGAACCTCAAACTGGAGAGCCCTGAACCCTCTTCGACCGTGGCCACCTGGGCCACGATTGCTGTGGGGGGCTCCCTTGTAAATCACATCGATAGGCACAGCTTCTGGATTCAGCAGGACAAGGAGGAAGCAGGCGTGACCTGGCCACAGCTTTGAAGGATCCACCAGCCCCTAGGGTCACCAAGAATTGGTGTTTAATGGGGTCTGAGGGGAAAGGCCAGCTTTCAACACCACTGTGGCACAAGCCTTTCCCTGGCAACTCCCTCCTCTCCCCTCCCCTCCGCAGAGGGAAGGTGTGCAGGAATCCCAGAAAGGAGGCACTGATGCCTAGACAAACATGATATCCACTTGAGGGACCCAAGTGGAGCACATGTCCCCCTTTAAAAAAAGATTACAGCAAAATGATAGACTAATGGACGCGGCCCCTCAGAACGATGACCCCCATGTGCCCACGGGCCAGCTCCAGCCAGAGCTGACCCAGCACAGCATGAGACAGTTAAATGCACGCTCCTAACAGTGGGGCCCCCTTGGGCTGCCCTGAGCTGGCTCCAGCTGCTGTCACTGTCCACTGAGAAAGGCCAAGTGCCCTTTGGTGCATCTGTTGGCGTAGTGTCCTTTTTCACCACACTGGAAACAGCAGGATGGGGGAGGAGGAGAGAAAAAACAGTATCGTTTTCAACTAAGGCAGTGCCCACCGAATATCCAATAGGGGACAGGACTCTGAAATTCTCATTGGTATAGATTTTCTTCTAAACTGAAGGGAAAGGGAACTAAGGGAAGTACAGTGGTGCAGACACTGCAGCCAGCAACTCAGCAGATGGAAGGGAGAACAAGGCCACCAGAAAATGGTCTGCCAGCACCTCACAGGGAGCTCCTTTAGGCCCACACCTCACCTGTGCTGGACATGGGGCCTGCCCAGGGAGGGACTCTCACAAGCAGGTGGCAGGATGAAGAGAAGCCCATGGCGCTTGAGCTCCCCCGCCTGTCTGGGGACCAAGCCCCTCTGCACGGCAGGCCAATCACTTACCTCTGAGCCAACGTCTGGGGCTCCCGGGCAGGAGACAGAACAACATAAGAGAAGCCACCAGGCTTCTCCCCCAACTTGGGAAGCCAGTGCTGTGGACACTGAAAGTGGGCAGAAGGTTTTCCTCCTGGCTCTTACACACCTGTCTAAACTACCCTGGGGACAGGTCTGGATGACAGGATCAGAGATGGGACAAAGGTGAGACTTGGGTGAGTAGAGCTATAGAGTCACTTCTGAGAAACCTAGCCCTGACTCCAACTTGTACTGGCCCTGATCATCCAGGCCCTTCTGAAGCCTCTCTCCATTCTCAAGCTTTGAACAAAGGTCAAAAGGCAGCTGGGGGCAGACTGCTACCCACCCCCACCCCCTGTCCCTGCATGGTCTGCGTGCAGCAGGGGCTCTGCTTAATCACCGCCCAGCACTCCTGCCTGCTCTATTCCTTTGACCTCAGCGTTTTCAAATTTGTCTCATCTGTAGGTGTGACTTCTGGTATGTATAAGTGGCCTAGGTAACTGCCACTTGGCCCTTGGGCTAATGGATGACCAGAGGGGATTACATGGCCCCACTCACATCATTCACCTACCCAACAGCCTCCATAGCCCACGCTGGGCTGAATCCAGGATTCCCATGAGGTGTTTCTGGAATTAACAGTACAATGTGCCCGTGGTGACAAGTGGTCAGGTCCCCCTAGCCCCACCTTTCTGAGGTTCCAGGACTTAGGAGAGTTTGCTTCACAGAGGCCCTGCTGAATATAGTGTGCTCTGCATGGAGCAGGCCTACCACCCGCCCCTGCAGCTCCACCCCACCCCACTTTGCATTCTGTTCTCACATTTAGTGCTCAGGCTCAGAAATCCCCCTTGTGAGGCGAACTTTTCATTTGAGTGTCTTCAGGCATCTGCCTTCTCCCACCAGGAAAGAGCAGCGGCAGTCTCTGTCACTGCAGCAGAGCCAGCACAGAGCAGGAGCTCAATGAACACCTGATGGCCCTGCGAAGTGCCCCGGGGCTCAGCATTTCTTGAGGGCAAGTTCTAAGAACATTTTAAGTACATGCCCTTTGACTGGGACCTTCCTCCTATAGGTATGGATGCTAATGACATCATCAGACAAGAGCTCACAAATGTCCAGGTGTCCCATTCAGCACTGTTATTAGCAGCAAAAACTATAAATAACTTTAATTGTCCACAGAGAACTGGTTAAGGTGTGCTTGTTACTATGCAGCCACTGGAAGAGATTAGATTTCCATATACTGACGCAGAAAGTGCCACAAGATGTTATAAAGAAAATGTTATATGTATTAGACCCCTATTTTTTTTTTTTTTTTGAAACAGAGTCTCACTCTGTTGCCCTGGCTAGAGTGAGTGCCGTGGCATCAGCCTAGCTCACAGCAACCTCAAACTCCTGGGCTCAAGCGATCCTACTGCTTCAGCCTCCTGAGTAGCTGGGACTACAGGCATGCGCCACCATGCCCGGCTAATTTTTTCCATATATTTTTAGTTGTCCGATTAATTTCTTTCTAATTTTAGTAGAGACGGGGTCTCGCTCTTGCTCAGGCTGGTTTTGAACTCCTGAGCTCAAACAATCCGCCCGCCTCGGCCTCCCAGAGAGCTAGGATTACAGGCGTGAGCCACCGCGCCCGGCCATTAGACCCCTATTTGTATTAAAATATATTATCCTTGGGCTTGTGTGACAAAAGATTAGAACAGCAGTTCTCCAGATTTGGTCTGGGTGTCCCTGATGGCATTTGCAAGTGTAAAGGGAAATGAAAAAGTGTGAAAATACAACACACTGAATAAAGTGGCTGTTTTAGGAAAGATGAGATTAAGGGACACCACTTACTTTCTACCTTAAACACTTTTATATCGCCTAAACTTTTTACAAAAAGCATGTACTAATTTTGTGTTTTATGTCTAATAATTCCCAAATCTGAAGTCTTTGTGGGTCTAGTTCTATTGTTGGCTGTTTCTGTGGACTCAGAGTGGTGCTTGTTTCCTTGTATGTTTTGTGATTTTCAATCATGAACTCATTCTTCAGAACTCTAGCTCTGGGAATTCTGTGTGGCTTGGGTTGAGAATATACTCTTCAAAGAGCACTTGGGGTTGCTCCTGCCAGACGCTAGGGGCATATCAGTCCCAGGGTGATTTAATTAGAAAACTCAGTTTGTAACTTTTTGGCCCTCCCCAAGGATATGAATTCAGGCCCAAACTCACATGAAGGCGTGCCAATTAACTACGAACTCTCAATGGATAGCTCACCCTTTCCTTTCTCTGAGCATCCCATTTTATGTACTGGAAGAAGGGGACAGGGGACAGGTATTCTAATTCAATGTCCTGTTCCTTGGGTGTGCCCATGCAGGATCTGAGGATGCCTCCAGAGCAGCCAGAGGCTTCAATGATCTACTCTTCCCTGGATTTGTGCTTCCATTTTGTCCCTAGCCTCTTGAACATTTTCCTCACTTTCTTGCAAGCACAATCCATTCATTCAGTAGCATGTTTTTACCATCCTTTACCTTGCCTTGGTGTGTTGTGGTAAGAAGTAGGATAGTTTCTAGCATACCATAGGAGACTGTAACTAGATTGTGACCTTAATCAGCAAAAACAAAAAATGTTTCCATTTTTCAAATATAGCCAAACACAGGGGAATGAGGGAATGGCCTTGACACTGGAGTGGAGACCCCACCCTGTCCTCAGCCCCGGGACTCACCTTGTAGCAGGTGACCTGCTCCAGCGGCCGGGGCCCCCGGTTGCCTGCGCTGCTGTTTTGACTCTGCATGACCCCGATGACCTGCGGGACTCTCTGCTGGTTGGGAGAAGAGTTCTGACTCGTTAACTGGATCAAGGAGGACGACCTTTGTAATGGCGGATTGTTACTTTGCTGGAAAGAGTTACACAACATGGTTTTACTGTGGAAAACGCGTGCACGCAGACTACCAATGGGGACAGGAAAAAGAGGGCGGGACTTGTCCCGCATGGCCAGCAGGAAGAAGGGTTTCTGCGATAGCCCAGCTCAGGAGAGCAGGCGGAAGAGAAACATCTGGTGATGATGGCAGGAGCTGCTGCCCGAAAAACACCATGCAGACACACAAAAACGAAAACTAAAAGTAGAAAACAAAACACCAAAGACACAAAAGGAGGTCTCTGGGGCAGTGGGGCGAGGGCATGATCAGGCCTTACTTTTGTTTCTGAGGTTCTAGCTTCAGGTCAGGATGAACGCTTGGTTCAGCCAGATGTTTAGCAGCCTACACGGCGAGCAACAGTCACAGAAAAACAGTTGGAGCCTGACACACTGGCCTGCGATCTAGGGGCTGAGGGCCCTCCTCTAGGGAGTCATGCAAGAAAGAGGAGGACAGGGGCTCCGGGGGTGGGGACTCAACAGCAAGGTCACCTCCCAGCCAAGAGGGAAGAGGGTTCCTGGCTTTGGTTCCTGAAAATGCAGAACCCCAGCTAGGAAACCCCCAGGTCCCAGGTCTTCACAGCTGCACCACACCCAGGAATTCCTGGTTTTCCTGACAAAGAGTTCAATTTGATTGGCACCACCGCCCCCTGGGGGTGGGGGTCAGTGGAGCAGGCAAGGACAGCTGCACCTCCTCCTGCTGCTCAGCCTCCGGCTCTGAGGGGGGCTGATGGAGCTTTGGCAACATACCCAGAGCCCAGCCAGGCAGGAGGTGAGGCTCTGAGCTCACCGGGTGGGTTTACTTGGTGGGCCTATAGGAGACACTGGCTGACACCCAGGCCAGCCCTTCCTCTGGGCCCAACCCCCCATCCCAAAACAAAACTCAGGGTGCCCTTGGTTTTAGGGAGCTGCTTCAGATCCCCATTTGTCTACAGCATTTCCCTCTCTCCTCATGCTAGAGGGGACAGACCAGCTGCTTGGTTCTGGAGCCCCTTTTTTACAGAACTGGAGCCACTGGGCCTTCAGTCCCATGTTCTCAGCCGCTCTTCCCGGCCTCCACTACCTGCAGCAGGAACCTCCCCTGGAGTAGTGACGGCGATGGCCAGAGAACCAGTCAATCTCGGTTCTGCTCCCACATCTGCTTCTGCTCAGCGGTGTCACCTCAGGCAAGTCCCTCCCCCTAGGAGTCTTAGTTTCCCCATTTGTAAAGGGAAGGGTCTGACCCAGAAGCAAGAGCAGCAGACATGGGGTGCCCGGCCACCCTCCACTCCAGCCCCTGACGCAGACACTGCTGAGCCAGGCAGCCCCATCTTGCAGAGGACAGTCCCACGACACCTGAACCCTGTCTGCCACCCTGCTCATCCCTTCTCAGCCTTGCTGTGCTGAGGTTCTAGGGCTGAATGCTCTCCATCTCTAGAGGGAGGTGCAAACTGCTTTGTCCTGACTTTTCTGAAGAACTCCGGGGGTAAGGGGAGACTCCCCTTCTCTCCCTCCTCCTCCCTTGCCCTCCCCTTACAATGTCTCCAGCTGGGTCTAAAGCAAGCTGCAGGCCAAGGTGGCACAGCAGTTCTCTCTGTAGGGAGAGCACTGCCAGGGGCAGTGCAGGCCAAGGAGGGGCCAAGGCACGGTACCTTTGTTGGAGGCTGCGTCTGCTGCGGTAGTGGGGGCTGCTCAGTGGTTCCCATCGGCAGTTCAAATCGAGGGCTGGTCACCCAGCAACCAGAGGGATGAGAACAGGAGAAGGAGAAGGGGGGATGGGGGAGAGAGGCCAGACCATGTTGTCAAATTCTAGGTCTAGGAAAATCACATCCAGCTGCCCCAGCACAAAGTGACACAAACCGCACAGACGCAATGGGGGCTGGCGCTCAGCTCTGCCTCTGGGAGGCCACAAGAACGGTGGGAACAGGACTAACTTTCCTGGGCTCAGACCCAGCTCTGCTCAGACAAGCCAGAAAGCCTTGGGCCACTGCTGCTCAGAAATGAAGGGATACGGCTGCACTGGTATCAGTGCATGCCTGCCGCACAACAGGGGCTGCACACATGAAAACCCACCGCCCTGCAGGGTCTCACTCGAGTGTCAGCACTTCCTCTGACTATAGGCAGAGTCACTCAGTGATATGCCTGCTCCACAGGCAGCAATCCATGGACCACTTGTAGGTGCCTGGGCTCTCTAGGGAGCAGAACCAAGTGGCGGCATTGGCCACCTGCCTGCAGTGAGCCAGGGACCAGGGACCAGGGTCCCAACAGATCAGAAGACTGTGCTCCTGCCCCGGGCTCGGCAGTGTGGATGGAGGCAGCACAGGTGGAGTGGAAGCTCTTCTGCAGTCCCTGGCAGAAGCCCGGCCCCACAACCACCCAAAGTGACAGATGTGCACTGGGCTCCTGAGGACAAGGCAATGGACCTGGGAGAGAGGCGTTAACCTCACTGAGTAAGAACTCGTCTTTGGAGGCCCACAGACCTGCCTTTGACCAGGTGCCACCACCTGCCACCACGTGCCCCTGTTGAGTGACCGAGCTCTGAGCCTCAGTGTGCTCATGTGTGAAATGGGGACATTCTCTTTCACACTTGTCAGTTACATGAACTGCTCTATGTGGAACCCCAAGCTCAGGACCTCCACATGGGGGGCCCTGAAACTTTAGTCCCCTTCCTTTAGGGCACAGGTACTTAAAGTCCCTAAACTTCCTAAATAATGTGCAAGGCTACATGTGTGTTTCTGGCCCACAGCTTTCATCAGATTCTCAGATGGCCGGTGACCCAAGGAAGGTTAGGTGTTGATCCACGCAGAGCCACCTCTGGGCTCAGAAGCACCAGTGGCCATAAGCAGTTCCTTCCCCATCTCCTACTCCTGCCCCAAGCTCTGGTACTGACACCACCCAGTGACCAAAGCCCAGCTGGACACTGGGAGGATAATGAGGGCAGTGGCAAGGCCTGGGCCAGGAGCTGGGGGTGTGTGTAGGGGCAACAGCTGGTTACTCACTGCATAAATTTACACGAGGGCCCCTCCGGGCAGAATCCCACCAGGTAATTCACACAGATGACTCTCCGCGTGTGCCGGTGCCTGCACAGGGGACCTGCAGAGCCAAGCATCAGGGTCACTCAGACATCCCCTTTGTGGGGGACACTCTAGTGTCTCCTCTACCAGCCTGAGCCCCAGAGAGCCACAGCATGGCTTCCAATGCTGGCTTTGCCTCTTAGTCACAGGGGACAGTAGGCAGGGACTCAACCTCTCAACACTGGTCTCCTTATCAAAAACACAGGCAAGATCACCACCCACAGCATTTTTGGGAGGCTCAAGGGAGATGAAGGGTTAGAAAAAGCCTCGCTAGCCACAGTACATTAGGTTTTGCTAGGATAGGCGGGACAGGAAGGGGGTGATGTCCCAGGTGGGCCAGCTGGCAGCCTCTGGGGTCATGTGGGCAGAGGAGGGAGGGCTGGCCTCTTGCTGGGGGCCCGGCCCACCCCAGCACCTACCGTGCTTGCAGAAGCCGCGGTCATACCAAGGGCAGTCCTTGATCTTGGACTCAGGGTCGATGTGCAGGAAGGGGCACTCCTTGTTGCTGCATTCCCCTGCAGGGAAACCCGGACATGCAGCCACCTGGGATATGCCAAGAGAGCCAGGGCCAGGCTCACCTTGGCTTCTCCCAAGGCAAAGAGGGGCCAGGCAGTTCTGGTGTCCAGTCTCTGCCCGGCGAGCCCTGAGACCGTTTCCTGCCCTGTACAGTGGGGCTGTGACGGTCCTTCCCTCCTATGTGGCAGTGCTGCCGAGAGGGTCAATGACACCAGCAGAGGCTGGCGTGGGGCACACAATTATCAAAATTTATCTTTCTGCCCCCTATCCAGGCAGAGGGGGTGTCTCAGGCAGTGCGGGACCCAGATATGCAAATGTACTGAGACCAAGAAATGACTGTTCTGCTCAGATGGTTCTTCACATCTATGAGCTTGGCGGGACAGTGTCTGAGAAACGCTGTCTTTTAGGACAAAAGTAGGGACAACTTGGGAACTTAAGGCTGAGTCCCTGTGGTGGTGACAGCACTTGAGGACTTGCACTTCTTGGAAGCAACCAGCCCAGCTGGCCACCAGCACTGGGAACTGCCTCCCTGGGCACTTGTCCACTTCCAGGCTTGGCTCTCCAATCCATGTTAACAACTGTGCTCAAAACTCAGGGGGGATGCAAACTCCTTCCCGAGACCCACAGGGCCCTCACAGGCTCAGCTAATGGGCCACAACCATCCCTCTGCACGGACTGCCCCTTCTCAGCCTTCGGCTCCCAGCTGAGGAACCACCTCGAGAGGCCTTCCCTGACCACTCTGCCTAAAGTAGATGCCACCATGTGGTCTTACCACAAGTTTATTTCCTTCAGAGCACTTTTCACGAATAATTCTCTTCTCTGTTTGTCTCATTGGCTTATCAGCTGCCTCTTTCCCTAGGCCACTAGAACAAAAGCTCCACAGGGCAAGGACCAGGCCTGTCCTCTTCACCACTGTCCTCCCAGAGTCTAGAAGGGGGACCTTCAACACGTGTCTGTGGCACAGGTGATGGAAGCTGCGGATACTGTGTCTGCACAGGGCAGGCTCTGCAGGGGAAGGGCAGGCAGAGGGCGGGTCACAGAAACATGTGGGGGCTGCTGGGCCCAGGGCAGTCAGCAAGGAAGGAGGGAACCCCAGGCCAGCTGGCACAGAGGTGCCCTTGACAGCCTGCCTAGGAGGGCTGGCTCCTGCCTCTGGGGGAAGATGGGAGGCCACTGCCCCATTCCAGTGCTCCGTGGGTGACGGGAGGATGTGGCGGATCAGACAACGCCTGGGGAGCCGGGAAGCCTGCTCCTATTCCTGTCTGTCTGCTTTGACTTCTCAGCTTATGCTGCCTCCACAAAACAAGCCACAGCTATCATTAACAAGGCAGCAAGCCAAGCCTGCTGGGATGCTGAAATAATTAATGTCTCCGCCGACAACAGTGCTTTGAAAGCATAAAGTGTGCCCAGCACTCCTCAGCTCACTGCAGACTCCTGTTGGCTTCCAGCATCCTGCCCAGCCACCTGCTCAGGGCCTGGGGCTGGAAGTCCTGGGGCCAGAGCCAGCCCTCGTGCTGACCAACAGAGCTGATTCCTGGGAAACCTCCAAGAGCAGATCAGAGCAGAGACTCTGGGGACTAATTCCATCAGGGAGCACAACAGCTCTCCTGCCAGCTCTACCCTCCCCTACTCTTCTCCACGCAGACCACTCGGGACAGCTGAGCCACGAGTTCTCTAAGCAGGGCTCCAAGTAATCTCAGGTTCCAGGTGAAGAGCAGGGCTCACTGCCACTAGAAGACAGCCCCTGAGACCTGATATTCAAGGGCTGTTTAGGACGGTTGAGCTATTACCCAGGATCATACTCCCAGAGAGCAGGAACCAACTCCGCCCACGGGGAGTGACCACGCTCGCTGAAGGGAGAAGGTAGACGTGGGCAGAAACCAGGTCTCCCACCAGCCACGCTGCTTGCTTCCTCTGACCCTTGTTAGTCTCAACGTCCCTGAGTATTTGAAAGTGCTCCAAACACTAACGTACTGCAAAGACGTAAGGGACGAGCAGAGAATAACCATGCCATCCCCTAATGGAAGAGCCAGCCAAAGCTGGCAGGCTCTGCCTGAATGTCTCATGTGAAGCTGGAAAAACTGGAGGCGCAGACAGAGACTCTGCAGGCACTGAGCAGCCAGTAGACCCTTCCCAGGGCTCCATGAACCTTACCGAACTTGGAGTAGAAGTAGCACTCAGGCATCTTGGTCATGTCATATTCATGCAGGAACTCGCACTGGTCCCCTTTCTTGCACAGTCCCCGCAGCCAGTGTTTGCATACAACTGTCTTCTCACCACTGATGTGGCGGAATGGGCACATGCCCCCTGCCGGGAAGATGGGGGTGGGGTATGAGGTGAGGTGCAGCCCTGAGCCTGGAGGTGGTGGGGGGACTTGGCCTGGGGGAGCCGAGGTGCCTTCACCTCCCTGCCACCTCCCTAAGCCACCTGAAGGTGGCACAACCTGAAAGATGGCAGAGGTGACCTGGTAGAAGACAACACGATTTTAGGCAGTAAATAGTTATTTATGATCTCACAGATATTATATAACAAGCCTGAGGGAGTGAGTTTATTTCTTAATTTAAGAATAGTTCCAGTGGTACATAGACATGGAAAACTTGTAGGGGTGGTAAAAGAAAGACTGGGGTTTGGGAAATCCTAAAGGACAAAGAGGACCACCAGCAGAAGCCTGGACTCCAGGCAGCCTCTGTCTCCAGTTAAAAGTGGCCACCTGGCCTTCAAGAATTAAGTAGGGGAGCAACTTCAGAATTGAAGAAAAGCGACGTACACACTGGAGGGAGGTCTGCCTTCTGTGGCAGGATGTGAGTGATCATTCCCCCCAGGTGGGACAGAACCATCCTCTGGGAATGTCAGACTTTTTAACAGGCGGCCTGGCAGGACCACTGGGAAGGCCCAACCAGGAGGAGGTCTTGACTGGGAAAGAACCAGATAAAACTTTCTGGAATGTTCTACATCTCTGCTGTCCAGTATGGCAGCTGCTAGCCACATGTGGCTACTAAGCACTTGAAATATGACAAGTGTGACTGAAGAACTGCATCTTAAATGTTACTTGATTTAATTAATTTAATTTGAATAGCTGCAAGTGGCTAGTGGCTCCTGTAGTAGTCAACACAGAGGTCATCAAAGTGCTCTGTGTTGAGGACGGCAATGCTAACAGGCGGCTGGTCAGAGGGCAGCATTACTAAGCAAAGATGGGAGAGTTAGACCAGGAGCCCAGTGGGGGAATAATGTTCCGAACAGTGTGAGGTTGACCTGGTTGATCTGCCTGAAGGTCTACTGCTTCAGTGGTAAATGACTGCATTATAGAAGCAAAACTCACCCAAACCATCCCCTTGCTCTGATTCTATGCTCCCTATTCAAGTTTCTGGTTAAAATTTTGTTTCCTAAATAATTTTCCTACAGGGAGAAAAATGCCCAGACCATGGCATTATAAGGTCTTGCCCACTGATACTTCTTATGAACTAGCAAATAGACTGGCTCATGCAGCCTCTGTTGGGGGCGCTGGTTAGTGTGAACAAGACCCCATGAGACAGAGTATCATGGGGTCTTTTGATTAGAGGCCACAGAGGATAGTAAGCCTGTGCGGACTGTGCAATCAGAAAGGCCTGGGCTCAGCCACTCATTAACTTGGTGACCTTGAGAAAGTTCCTGAGTGCCTCCATGCTGGGGGCTTCCCTCCATGTCACAGGTCAGTTCACAGCCATGAGGAATGTGAGGTGACATGTTCAGTCCTGTGTTTTAGGTTTCAGGCAGAACACCCAATCAGGTTCCCACCCTATCCAAACTACAGCTTCATCTATGGACACTGTTAGTCTGCAGAAAGCAATACAAACCAGAGACCGGTGGCTTATATGTCTGCTAGGGGACAAGGTGGTAGAAGGGCACCTTAGGAGGCATGTCAGGGAGCCAGGAATCTCTTACCTTTGCCACAGGCAGCTTTCAAAAAGAATTCACAGACGGCAGCCCCCGACTCTATAGAAAGGAAAGAAAAAGGAGAGACATCAAACAAAGCTAGGTACAACTGCTACTGGTGACATATGAAGACAGTTGGAGGGAACTCTTCTGGACAGTGACCCATGAAGGGTTCAGGGTACAGGAAATACAGTGGCAAAAAAATGCAAAGCCCAACCAAGCAAGGAAAAAGCTTCTTATTTTAGTCATCCCCTGCAAAATGTGACAATATACATTGAGACCAGTCATTACTTAGTGCTTTGAGACCCTTCTGTAAGATGCTTTCAAGGAGTCAAGAGTGGGCGGGGAAAGGAAGGATAGAATACAAAAATCACAGAATTAATTACCCCCGGCTCACACCTTCCAGGAGGGCTAATGCACAGGCACATTAACCCCAGGCAGAGGGAGGCAATGATCTCACAGGAAGTACAAACAAGTGAATTGGGCTTCTGAGAAGGGACAGGCTCCAGAGAGGAGTCAGGTACCTCTGAGACTCCAGTCCAGAGGGAAGAGCGCCAAGTGAAGACACAGAAGCAGGACTGCTCAAAATATGCAACATCCACCTACAATTATTAAGGAAGCACGGCCTCTCACTCCCACAGATGTAGCTGGTTCTGGTGAGGGGAGCAAGACTACCGAGGCAGACTGCAGTGGAAGTCAGTGGGACCCAGGGGCCAGCTGTTCTGATGAGCCCAGGAATTCATCAGCCATGGCTACCAGAATAAACTGTCCTTGGCTTCATAAACAGTGTTCTCTATCAGTAGACATTTTAGAATTGCTGAAAACCCACTGATGGCCTCTCTGAGGCCCATGCACATGCCTCCCCGTGCTAACTTGCAAGATTCCTTGGCTTCTTGGAAGCAGGCAGATTTTGCTAGGTGAGGTTATAGAACTTAGAGGTGACACACGGTGTCATGGGTGGGGGGGTTATTCCGTTTGCATTTCGAAAAGCCTGAAAAGTCTTACCAAAAAAAATGTATAATTTAAGAGTATTTCTGGTCTTTCATTCTTTCAGAGATTAGCGTTGCTTTATTCCTTAAAGTCAGAAATCCACAGTCCTAGAGATTGAGTCTCAGGTAGATGGGTTAACAGTATGCCTCAAGGGCAAAACTGACAGTTCTTCCCAAAAACTCCAAAGGGAATAAGTGCAGGGATGAGCAAAGAAGGGCTGGGGCCTCGCTGAGGTTGAACACACTGAACACAATTATAGAAAAGCCAGTGCTGAGGGTGCCTACCAAGTCTGAAGCTCTGGGTAGCACCTGTGGCTAGGCATGTCCCTGACCCGAGGAAGAGGTATGTGGGCCCCTTGCCACTGCACCTACCCTGACAGGTTTGTGGATCTGTGGTGCTAGCTGGGAGAACAGTGGGAGGGAAAGAGCTGCCCTGCATAGATGATTCCACAGTCTCAAGCTAGTGCTCTCAAGACAGAAAATGGCCAAGTATGCGAGAGTGGATGTGCATGTGCATGTGCAAGCACGAAGCGATCACATGTGCCAAGAAGTAGGTAAGACAGTGTGTGTCTGAATTTGAGCAGCAGCTTTTAAGAGGTGTACAGTGGTGACAGGGTTTGGGTGTGCCTAAGATAAGGCAGTTTGACCGATATCTCTGGGTATAAGCACTGTCTTGTACAGAAGCATCAGCAGTGAGGGGACAGATTCAGAGATCCTGTGTGCATGAGAAGGTGTGGCCACCTGAGGGGAGGGAGGCTGCAGTCCTCCTCTGGCAGTTGTGGGAAACAGCAGAGAACACTGGAGAGCTGGCCTGCTCCGCCATGCACTGAGTGGTCTTCAGCAAGTCCCAATTCAATGACCTCTAAGAACCCTCAGAGTTTTAATGCTATAGCACTAGATTTCAAGTATGTACTGAAAGGAGAAAAGATATGAAGGAAACCGCTGGTTTCTTTTAAAGGGCGAGATATCCCGTCTGAGTTGGAGGGTGGGGAAGCCGGGAGCCAGCGTGTGAAGCGTGTTCTGGCCAAGGGTCTATACCAGCCACCTGGGTGTGATGACTGACCTAGAACTAGGGTCCAGAAAAAGGGGATAGGACCCAAACTAGGGATGAGCTTCCAGGACTGCAAGTCCTAGGAGAATAGAGTTTGAGAGTCTAGCTGGGGTCTCCTACAGAGGAGGTGGTCCTTCTCTCAGCAGGACAATTCCAAATGTTAAGTTTTGATGAAAGCAAGAAGAGGGCGCTCAAAGTGGCAGGCAAGGGGTGGGAAGGGGGCTATCTTAGTACTTTCTTATAGTTGGAGGTGGGGGCGGAGTTTCCAATCCAGGATAACCTGCCTGTTCATTCACGTGGACAGACACGGTCCTGCTCTCCTGAACATTGCCTTAGAACAGCCCTAAGGGATCAAAGATCCAAGGCAGGGGGCTCTGGAGTCCGAATGAGGGGAGAAGGGGTCCCAGGACCAGAGGAAAAGGGAACCTGGGACCCAAGAGTCCCGGGACCGAGTCGGAGGATCCCGGGATCCAGAGGAGGGAGTCCTAGGACCGAGGGGGAGGAGTCCCGGGACCGAGGGGCATGCCCGCCCGCCCCGGCCCCGCGCTCACTGTCCATGCCGGGGAAGGGCAGAGGCTGTGCCCCCAGCTGCTGCTCCACCGCGATCTCCAAGTCAAACTTGATATGGTCCACACTGGCAATGATTTCCTGCATGGCGGCGGCGGCGGCCCTACCGGCCCGGCTCCCCTTCAGTCTGTCGCCGCCCTCACACCTCTACCGGCCGCCGGCCCCGCAGCGCACGACCGTCTCGCCTCGCCTCGCCTAGTCTCGCCTAGCCGCCGCCGCCGCCCGAGGGATGCCGGGAGCGCCCCGAGCCCGCGCCAGGCCTTTCGCCTGCCCAGACCAGGCCAATCGAGCACGGAGTACCGCAGCCGCGCTAGGCCTGGCTAGCCGCCAGCCGAACGCCCGCGGGGCCTCGCGGGCAATCCGAACCCAGGCACGTGACTTCGCGACGCGGACTGCGCCTGCGCGAGGCCCGGCTGCAGCGTGTGCGTGAGAGAGGGTGACCTGGGGTAGAGCTAGGGACGCAACCGGGACCGAACTGGGGGCAACGCTGGGCCAGGCATTAGGCGGGCGGTGAGGGGCGGTGCGGAGGCCCGGCCGGGGTTCACTGCGACGGACACTTCAAGTGAGTTCCTACTTGATCCTCTCAGAAGCCCCGGGACCCGGGCGGAGACAGGCCGAAGGGGCAGGGAGTCTCTGAGCCAGGATCGGAGGCGTCGGATGAGGAAACTGAGGCACTAAAGGCCAGTGTGGGAAGGGGTCGGGGTTGGCCTGAAGGTCCCGGTGAGCGTCTGAGGACCGGCGGGTCCCTCCAAGGGGGGACAGCGTGACTCCAATTCAGGGGTTTTTAACCTGGGTAGGTTAAAGAATTTGGGCAGGGAGAGGATGACACCTTTATCTTCTCTGTGAAATTTAGCACTTCCTTTCCCTATTGTCTGAGCAGCGTTAGCAGTGCCTGAAACGATGTCGTAATTTCAAGTGAGGATGATGTAAATGATAGTTCGAGATAGTTTGTGCTGCAACCACAAGGTGTTATTTCGAGCTACCATTTACACTGATTCTTGCTTTGAAATTATGATAGGATCTTGTTTTTTAAATGCACTGAAAAAGAAGCATATATACTAATATAGCAAGAAATTGTTTTTAAAACATTTTGATACCTATTTCAATGTCATTGGGGTTTTGGGGGTAATTCTGTGTATTTTTTTTTTTTTTTTTGAGACAGAGTCTCACTGTGTTGCCCGGGGTGGAGTGCCGTGGCATCATCCCTAGTTCACAGCAACTTCAAACTCCTGGGCTCAAGCAATCCTTCTGCCTCAGCCTCCCGAGTAGCTGGCACTACAGGCATGCGCCACCATGCCCGGCTAATTTTTTCTATATATTTTTAGTTGTCCAATTAATTTCTTTCTATTTTTAGTAGAGATGGGGTCTCGCTCTTGCTCAGGCTGGTTTCGAACTCCTGAGCTCAAACAATCCGCCCGCCTCGGCCTCCCAGAGTGCTAGGATTACAGGCGTGAGCCACAGTGCCCGGCCAATTCTGTGTATTTTAATTAACGCATGTAAACACCATGCTTCTAAGAAGAATGCAGAATGGTAAAGGCCCTCTGCACTAGTGTCAATGAGGTGCTGGTCTGGAGAAGCTGTTTAACACATTACATGGACTCAGGTTCAAAGCCAGTTTAGGCCAGTCTCGCCCACTGCATGGTGCAGGACCCAAACAAGTCTTTCCCCTGCAGGGCCCTGGTTATTAATCTGTTCAATCTACCATCACTTCTGAGATCTATCCAATGGCAACCTTCTAATATAACCAGACTTTAAAATATTTTTATGCTGTAAACTGATCATTCTGATTTTTTTTATTAAAGGATTTTAAGTGTGCAGCCCAGCTCTGTCCAATAGAAATAAAATGCAAGCACGTGTCATTTTAAATGTTCAAGTAGCCACATTAAATTGAAAAGCAATTGTGAAATTAATGTTAGTAATATGTTTTATTTAGTCCAGTATATCTGAAATATTATTTCAGCAGGTAAAAAAGTTATTAATGTGTGTATATTTTACATTCTTTTTTTTTGTACACAAATTTTGAAATCTGGTGTGTATTTTATGCTCAGGGCATCTCCATTCAGACTGGCCACATTTCAAGTGCTCAGTACCCATGTGTGGCCAGTGACTACTGTGTTGGGCAGTACAGCTCTTGCCCATTTGTCCACAAACTTTGTAGAAAAGAAATGTTTGAGTTAGCTTCCCTTTGCAGAGGCCTAGAATGCCAACACTTTGTTTCTAATAATGAATGATAATAGCTACAATTTTTGAACACCTGTTAAATGCCAGACATTGTGCTAAAAATATCTCATCTTGCAGTTGATGAAATGAAGACATAGCAAGGTCAAATACCACACCCTGTCACACAGCTCTGGCTGGGACTCAGACTCAGCTCTGCCTTGGCCACACATCTTGAGTGCGTCCTGAGCCAGCACTGTGCCACATGCTGTACGTAGGAGACGTCCTTTCATCCAGTTATTGCTACAGTGCCCTGTGGGTGACATTATTGTCAACCACAGTGTAGAGGTGAGACTGAGGCCAGAGCAGTGAGTGCTTAGGGACACATAGATGGTTGTTGGCAGAGCTGAAATCTAAACCGAGGCTTTCTAACCTCAGGGCCTATACTTGTAACCACTTCCCTGTTTTCTTTCTGCCTTTTGTGATTAGAAACGCAAGTTGACTCTCTTCTCTTTCCTGGACATGTTCTAGGACTTGGAGCGACAGGAAAGCCAGAAATGGACCTCCTGAGATTTGCCTGGCTCTTCTCCAGGCCCCACCCCATGGGATTGTCCCTCCTACAACACCTGGACCCTTTCAGAGCCAGGTGGGCAGGAGGCAGGGAGGGGCCCACGTGGCTGACTCAGCTGGTATCAGTGGCCTTCAGCAGCTCCCTCTCTCAGCGGCCCCTTGGCCAGAGGAGCCAGAACATGAGGAGCCTCAGCTCTGGCCCAAACCAGCCCAGCCCCACAGCCACTCAGGAGGAAGAGGAGGAGGAGAGTTTTGGGACCCTATCGGACAAATACTCCTCCCGGAGACTGTTCCATAAATCGACAGCCCAGCTCTATAACCTTCGGCTCAGGGAACAGAGTGTCGAGGAAGATGAGGAAAAGGAACCAGAGCCAAGATCATGGGGCCCCAGAAACACTCCGTACTGGTACTTCCTTCAGTGCAAACGTCTGATTAAGGAAGGAAAGGTGAGGGAGGCTTTGGGCTACACTTGGCTTCCCTGGCGGCTCAGTGTTTTGTGAGGAGCCACCTGAGCCGCCCAGTCTCCAAATGTTGGGATGCTCAGGGCCTGGTCCACAGGCCTCTCCTCTTCTCTGCTTTCACCCACCCTAACAACCCTCCAGTCTCATGGCCTTAAGTGTCCTCCACCACCCTCTACTGAAGTTTCTTATTCCTGTGTCCAGCCCCAGCCTTCCCTGGACCCCTGGCCTGTGTGTCCAGCTTCCTCCCCATCTTCCTTCCACTTATCCACACAGGCAGCTGTACAGATCCAGGCCTGGAATTTTGTTCCCAACCTTGCTTTCCCCACGCTTTCTTCATCTCACTAAATGGCAACCCCATTCCACTCACCAGGTCAAATGCCTTCAGGTCACCCTTCATTCTTCTCATTTCTTACCAACTCTACCTTCAAAAACATCACCAGCCCTAACTACTTCTCACAACCTGCCCAGGCATGGCCTTTTCCTCCACCCGTCAGCTATCAGGACTCTTGTCCCTGGGCTCCCTGCCATCTGCTCGCAGCACAGAGCTGTCTTTTTATTTTCTTATTTATTTATTTTTTTATTTAGAGACAGGATTTCCCTCTGTCACCCAGGCTGGAGTGCAGTGGCATGATCATAGCTCACTGCAGCCCCAAACTCCTGGAGAGCTGTTCTTTTAAACAGAAAGTGGCTCACGTTAATCTTCTCTCCAAAACTCCCAGTGTATTCAGTGGCATTAATGTTATTCATTTTCTTAGGTATTGATAAGGGCACTGCATTTCTGTTTAGAAATCTCTTAGAGACGTGTTAAAGATCTTACAGATGAAATGATGAGATGTCTGGGATTTGTTTTAACAATTCAGGTTTTTTTCCTTTTTTTGTTCTTTTACAAATTGGCACACTGAGATCAGTCTGCAGAGAGAGTGCAGGCTATGGGTGGAACAAGATGGGCTAAACATTCATCATCATTGTAAATACACTATTCTCTCTACTTTTGCGAATGTTTGAAATTTTCCCTAATGAAAAGTTAAAAAATAAACAGGGAAGCCAAAGTCCTCACAATGGCTTATGAAGCCTGCAAGATCTGCCTCCGCCTCCCCACCCCCATTTCCTCGCTGCCCTCACCTTCCCCTCCTCCTCCTCTGCTGCAGCCACCTCAGCCCCTTCATATCCCAATTATCCCCTGTGGTGTCTGTCTTTCCATGCTAGAAAGTGAGCTCTGAGAGGGGCTCCTTTTCCCAGCTATATCCCCAGTGAACAGTCGTTGCCTGACTCCCAGAAGGACTCTGATAATTATTTGAATAAACAGATGAAAGTCCTTAAGGGGTAAAGGCGTGAGCTGATGATTTACCTGGGGCTGGTGCAGGGGGTAGGGATAGGGCAAAAACAGCCATGGGCTGAGGAAGTGTGCAGTCAGAGGAAGCGAGCTCGCCCAGTGGGACAGGGCTGCTGTCCCACACCATCTCAGGAGGGTCCCTCAGCCTCCCTCTGTCCTCTGAGGGTCCCTGGGACCATCCTGAGCCCTTTCTCCTGTAGCTGGCTGAGGCCCTGGACCTGTTTGAGAGGCAGATGCTGAAAGAGGAGCGACTCCAGCCGCTTGAGAGCAACTACACGGTGCTGATCGGGGGCTGCGGGCGGGCTGGCTACCTGAAGAAGGCCTTCATGCTCTACAACGATGTGAGTGTGAGGCGCGGGGGCGGCGGGGGCAAGGCTGCGAGGAGCTGCGGGCAGATCCGGAACGTGCCACTTACTAGTGTGTTACGCTGGGCAGGTGACTTCACCTCCCTGGCCTCAGTTGCCTCGGTAAAATGGAGGTGTTCTTGGGTGATAAATGACGTGACATGGATAGTCCTTTAGCACCTGCCTGGACCACAGCAGGCCCCGCATGTCCCCTTCCTTTTCCACTGCCGTGCCCAGTTTGGTCACGTTCCTCCTCCCCACTTCTGCGTGCATATACGCGCCCTTCTTCCGGAGCCGGTCCTTTAAATTTAAAGGGCTTTCACCTCTCTTGAAAGATGGTTTTGCTTTATATTCACCCACCTCTTGGGTGTG